AGGAAAATGGGGGCATCAACTCAGTTGATATAGACGGATGCCATCATTCAAAGGTCCATCATGTATTTGACGGGGCCTGATGAAGAAGTTTGACTGGTGGGGGAATACAGCAATTTACAGACCTTAAATCCAGACTAGACCCCATCAATACTACAATGCTACTCTTAGTGTAAGGTTACAGTAACGGAATCTGGAAAGCCTGAAAACACTCCTCCCTCCCCCAGTTTTTATGTTCCAGAGAATGAGGGTCACATTGGAGATGCTTTCTCCATCCTCATTCCTGCTTTGGACTCAAATGTCTCCTGTCTCTGTCTGTCTGTCTATCTATTGTTCCATCCATCTCTCTATTTTCTCTTTATCTATCTGCATTTCTCTCTCTCTCAGCTGTCTCTATCAATCTCCATCCATATCTATCTTATATCTAACCATATGTATCTTCTATTATCCTATCATCCACCCATCCACCCATCCATCCATCCATCCATCCATCCATCCATCCATCCATATCTATTTATCTATCTATCTATCTATCTATCTATCTATCTATCTATCTATCTATCCATCCATCCATCCATCCATCCATCTATAATCTCCAGCCATTTCTCTTTCTCTATCTCCTTATCTATCTCCATCCATTTCTTTCTCTCATTTCTCCATCAGTATCCATCCATATCTATCTTATTTCCAGCCATACGTATCTTCTATTATCCTATCATCCATCCATCCATATCTATCTTATCTCCATCCATATGTATCTTCTATCATCCTATCATCCATCCATCCATCCATCCATCCATCCATCCATCCATCCATCCGTATCTATCTATCTATCTATCTATCTATCTATCTATCTATCTATCCATCCATCCATCCATCCATCCATCCATCCATCTATAATCTCCAGCCATTTCTCTTTCTCTATCTCCTTATCTATCCTCCATCCATTTCTTTCTCTCATTTCTCCATCAGTCTCCATCCATATGTATCTTCTATCATCCTATCATCCTATCATCCAGCCATCCAACCCTCTCTCCCTCTCTCTCTCTCTCTCTCTCTCCCTCCCTCCCTTCCTCCCTCCCTCCCTTCCCTCTCTCTCTCTCTCTCTTCTATCATCTGATTTAAGAACTGTCCCTCTCCCCCACAGAGGAACTCTGGATGGTGTACAATAAAGTTATTAAAAGAATAAAAACACGCCTTCCCTGCCTGAATGGGTGGGATAGGCTGAAGTAACGGGACAATGACAGTTCCATACAGTAACATATCAGACTGGTCCAGGCTGTAGCTCTTCCTCCTGTCTCCCAAGGTTATCCTCACAGCCCGCTGCAGAAAACTCTCCGCCTCAACTCTTCTGCCATAAATCCAGATGCGATAAAATGCCTCTTCCTATTCAGCTGAGTAATTTTATGGCGATGCGTTTTCCAAGACTTCCAGAAACAGCGTTGCTCAAAAAGGCTCACCGCCTGCTTAAACATCTTCTCACACAAAGTTCCGATTCCGTGTTCGGAAAACCCGGTGGAAAAAAAGCATGTGTAAACATTAAGGGGGAAAAAAAAAAACCACGTTTGCAGGTTGCTCATGTTGTAGATTCCCTTAAAAACACTCAACTGAATGGACCAAATATTTACCGGAGGTGCTAAAGCAAACACACAACACATCTGCTCCTCTTCACAATTTCACGGAAGCCAACGACAGCCTTCCACAAACACGGGCTTCAAACGCGCACGTCAACCCTGAAATGTGATGGAGGGTTTTTTTTTTTTTTTTGCTGGAGCGTTCTTGTTTAAGGTTTTTAATATTATTTACAGACAAACAGGTGAAACTACCTGTTTGTCTACTATTTCTCTACTATCTCAGTGGGTTCGGAGCTAACTTTCTGCTAGATCCTATGGAAAGGAGCTCCACGTTCTTATTTCCTAGGGCAGTGATGGTGAATCTTTTCGGCACCGAGTGCCCAAACCGGAACTTGTGTGCTTGTATGTATGCGTGCGCACCGGAGCGCCAGAAACCCGAAGACCAGGTGGCCGGTGCACATGCATGCAGGCGCACTGGCCAGATGGTCTTCGGGTATCTGTCGCTCCAGTGCGCGCAAAGACCAGGCACATGCGCACGCCGGAAACCGGAAGAGCATCTGGCATCTGGCAACGGTGCACGTGCCCACAGAGAGGGCTCTGCATGCCACCTGTGGCATGCCACCACGGTCCTAGGGACTGACACAGAAAAGGCCCTGCTTTGTGTGTGCAGCTGGTGGGACCCACAATAGGAAAGTCTCTAATCCTCAAGAGATATCCATAGGGGTCATGCAAGGTAGGACAGCTGTAGAGCAGAGCACGGGAGGAGAAGAAGGAGAAGAAGAATTGAAGCAACCGTAGAAAAGTTACTTGATGACCTCTAGAGTCAGTTTGGTCCACCGATTAAGGCACCAGGCTAGAAAGTGGGAGATTGTGAGTTCTAGTCCTACTTTAGCCATGAAAAACGGCTGGGTGGCTATGGATCAATCATCAGAAGATGGTGAGTTTTAGTCCCTCCTTAAGCTGCCTGGGACTTTGGGCCAATCAGCAGGACACTGTGAGTTCTAGTTCTGTCTTCAGGCATGAAAACTAGCTGGGTGACTATAGGTCAATCACCAGGAGACGGTGAGTTCTAGTTCCGCCTTAGACATGAAAGCTGGCTGGGTGATTTTGGGCCAATCAGCAGGACACCGTGAGTTCTAGTTCTGTCTTCAGGCATGAAAGCTAGCTGGGTGACTATAGGTCAATCACCAGGAGACGGTGAGTTCTAGTTCCGACTTAGACATGAAAGCTGCCTGGGTGACTTTGGGCCAATTACCAGGAGAAGTGAGTTCTAGTTCTGTCTTAAGGCATGAAAGCTAGCTGGGTGACTATGGGTCAAAGCTAACTGGGTGACTTTGGGCCAATTACCAGGAAACGGTGAGTTCTAGTTCCATCTTCAGGCATGAAAGCTAGCTGGGTGATTTTGGGCCAATCACCAGGAGACAGTGAGTTCTAATCCTGCCTTGGGCCTGAAAGCAGGTGGAGTGACTTTGGGCCAACCACCAGGAGAAAAGTGAGTTCTAGTTCCCCCGTCAGGCCTAAAAGCTAGCTGAGTGATTGTGGGCCAATCACCAGGGAGACGGTGAGTTCTAGTCCAGCTTTAGCATCAAAAGCCAGCCAGGTGACTCTGAGCCAGTCCCTCTCTTTCAGCCCAGCCCAACCCACCTTACAAAAGTGTTGTCATCGTGCGGAAAATAAAGCGAAAGAGCGTTGCGTACGTTTGCCGCCTCGAGCCGTTTGCAAAATAGCAAAGGCGGGAAACGAATGAATGAATTTAACAAAATATTTAGCCAAATGACCCCAGCCCCCACCGCCCAAAAGCTCCCTCCAAGGCACTCCCAGCGAAGTGACCCTTGCCTTCTCCTTTCCCAATTTTTTTTTTATGGATATCGATTGCAATCTCCTCTCCCACTCCGGCCAATTCCCCTTCCATTTAGGCTTCCGTGCATTTACCCAACAGCTGTCACCCAACACGGTAAATTCTACAGTTGCCTAGTAACTACCAGGTAAGAGAGCCTTCGCAGGCTGCATGCTTAATGGCCAAGGATAAAGAAGAGGTTTGCTGGCAGTGTCCGTCTGGCAGTGTCCCTTTGCACACAGAAATCCAGCTGCTCTGCAGGAGGGGCGAATATCTGTGGCTCAGGTGTAGGATGAGGGCGAAGAGACTTTAGAGCAGAGGCTGCAACCTTATACCTATATAGAGCCTGAGTGGCGTAGGAGGCTAATGCCTCCTACTAAGGCAGCATTTAACATCCAGCTGCCTGCAGTTACTGCAAGTCAAATCTCACCAGGCTCAAGGTCGACTCAGCCTTCCATCCTTTCTAAGGTGGGTAAAATGAGGACCCGGTTTGTGGGGGCAATAAGCTGACTTTGTATAAAAATATACAAAAGTATGAAGGCTATTGCTTAACGCATTGTAAGCCGCCCTGAGTCTCCGGAGAAGGGCGGCATATAAAAATAAATAAATAAATAATAATAAAAAAATACACTCAAAGAGCCATTTCAACTTTGCTGTTTCCCACAGAAAAGAAAACACCGGGAACCACAAAAACCTTCCCATGCCTGACTATTTCTTGAGCGGCCACAAAACTAGCATAGGTAGTTGATTTAAACGTTCTGTTTTCTTCTGAAACTTTTCTTTTCTTGCATTTATCCATAATTGGCCTACTGGGGGGTTGAAAAGCTCAATAAATCATGTGCCAGTAGATGTCGCACATTGGCGGTTGTGACGCATATTTTGAGCGACAGGGAGCTGCAGCAGAGGGGTGAAAGAGCCACATGCGGCTCCAGAGCCGCAGGTTGCTGACTCCTGCTTTAGAGGTTCTCAGCCATCCAGGTCATGGTTGCCCCAAATTTATAATCAGTAAATTTGTTACTACCGGTTCTGTGGGCATGGCTTGGTGGTGGTGGGGGGTTTAATGTGACTGGGTGGGCGTGGCCAACTTTTTTTTTTTTTTTACTTTTAAAAGCATTTTTTTAAAAAAATGCTTTTAAAAGCCTCTGACGATCAGGCAACTCAGCTGGGATTGTCAGAGGCTTTTAAAGGCATTTTTTTTTCTACAACCTTTTCGGCCGAAGAGGTTGTAGAAAAAAATGCTTTTAAAAGCCTCTGACGATCCCAGCTGAGCCGTGCAAAAATCAGAGGGTTTTTTTTTTTACTTTTAAAAGCATTTTTTCGGCCGAAGAGGTTATAGAAAAAATGCTTTTAAAAGTAAAAAAAAAGAAGCCTCTGCTCAGCTGGGCATTGGGTGGGGGGACACAGGGATTTTTCTATTGGTTCTCCGAACCATCTGCCGCCATCGCTACCGGATTGGGTGATCCGTTCCAAACTTGGAGCATTTCACCCCTGGTCCTTACACCAAATATTGTCTTTCATCTTTTATCTCCAAGATCATCAAGGAGGTCTGGAAACCAAGCCAACAAACCCAATACAAAACGTGGATGACTTACCAAAAACCCGCAACGGTGATTCACTCGATTTAGGCTGATGACATGAGACCAAAACACCCAGATTCTTTCTTCTAGAAAAAGGATTTGCTCCAATGTTTTCTGTGTCGCTGCAGGTTGTCTGGATGGCAACTCATTTCCAACCTGAAAACGAGAAAGATGGTCATTATTTGTACTCTTTTTTTTTTTTTTCCGGAACGCTTTTTTGGCTTTTTCACCGTTCTTCTTTTTTTTAAGGATGAAAACGAGAAGAACAGGGAAGAAAAAAATTGTGGAATGGCAATTCTCGATTGCCTTTGACACTGTAGTTTAAAAAAATATCCCAAATTCCTTATCTCCGTCTTGGTGCAAAAGATGGAAAAAGCAATTGAGGAGGAATGGAGACCCATAAAAGGTTTGTATTCTAATAGAAGGTAATATTGGTAGCTCAGAGTTGAACTGTGCTCTCGGAGCTTTGTGGTTTCCTTGCGGTTGTTTCATTATCTAACTAGGTAACATCATCAGTGCTAGAAGGAAGGATCTGCAAGAAAACAGTCAAGCTCAGACAGTACCAAGGACCCCACAGTGAGAACAATTAACCAGCGGGACGGCTTGCCTTCAGAAGTTGTGGATGCTCCAACACAGGAGGTTTTTCTTCTGATCTAGGCTTCCCGAGTCAGTAAAACACACGTCCCAAAAACCTGTTTTATTTTAACAGCTGTGAGTTCTGTTCTTTCACAGTGAGTCCCAAATAGCTGTAAAGAGTCCTTCGGGATAAGGCTGATAATCACCCACCTTTATCTCCCTTGACATGCTGCCAAAGACCTAATTGGCAAAGCCACACGGAGTCCAGAATCAAACAGAGCTTCAGGCTTTAAACTGCACAGAATTAACAACGTTGCTTCCTGCAAAGGCCCACGTGCCTTTGCTCCTCTTTTAAGTATTATGGGAGGGACCAATCATCTCCAAGCCCTACTTCTGAGTCGTCCCTTTTGTTTTAACTGTTCTTGCCTTCTGGCAGCTCTGCGCATGCGTGCACTGGGAACAGGCTCCCCCTGTTACTCTGCCTCGCTGAGGTCCGACTCTGGAGGCTCCGGAGGCAGCACATACCACCCAGATGACCCTTTCTCTGCCTCTGACGCAGAGCCCTTGTCCAAGCCTTCCCCAGACTCCAGGACTGGCCCATGTTCCTCGCCAGCCTCCTCACTGTCTGATTCTGCTGCCAGCTCCGCAGGCTGCTGGCGGGCCACAACAGTTTTTAAGAAGAGACTGGACAGCCATTTCTCCGGAATAGTGGTAGGTAGGGTTTCCTGCTTCAGCAAGGGGATGGATTAGAAGACCTCCAAGGTCCCCTCCTAGTCTGCTCTTCTTATTCTGTTGGTTGTTGAAGCTGTGCAAGGGACCATGTCTTGGCCCGGACTTCACAGCTTCAGGGCATCAGGAGCTAACTTTAGCAAAGTGTTTGAAGAGTCGGCCATCCTTAACCATCTAGGCTGGGCTCCAATTGCTATTCCTGTTTCATGCTGGTTTTGGCTTTCTTCTCTGAACGCTCTGCTGGAAATCTTTGCACGTTTGATATTTATATTCCCTTCCTCGCCTGCCCCGCCAGAATAGCATGCCTGGGTTTTCAATTTTCCTCGCCCAATGAAAGAAAAACACATTTGCGTATTGAGGTCTGTTTATATGTGGTGTGTGTGTGTGTGTGTGTGTGTGTGTGTGTGTGTGTGTGTGTTTGTACAGTTAATATTTCGGGTTTCTTCCCGTGTAATAGTAAACATATCCTTAAAAGGGTAGTAGCGACGTTTCGACGAAATCGCATTCGTCATCTTCTGGCTGATGTTCTCGGTTTATATATATACTATCTCCCTTTATCAGCGAAATATAAATTTGGTATAAAATGGTTTGTTGTGAATGCAACTGCTTGAGGGCTCCTGGATTGGAGCTGAAAGGCGAAAGGGATGCAGTATGCTCCCTCCCACATGCTGGGGTAGACCAGGCGTCTCGATAGAAAAACACTTAATCTCTCCCCTGGCTCAAGCTGATGAAGGGAGGAGAACTTGTGGCTCAGAGGTTAATACAACTGCCTAACATGCAGGCAGCCCAAGTTTGAATCCAAGTAAGGGTATGGCTAGCTGATGAGAGCTAAATAGCTTGAAATAGATCTATACTAATCTCCCTTTATTTCTTTATCAGTGATACACACACACACACACACACACACACACACACACACACACACATATATATATATATATGCAAGCCTTGGCGTATTTGGGTCTTTTCCCGTGTAAGATTGAGAGTATCTTGGCAATGTTTCGACGAGGTCTCACTCGTCATCTTCAGGCTGGTGTCTTCGGCTTTGTGCTTGTGCGACGAAGCCAAAGACACCAGCCTGAAGATGACGAGTGAGACCTCGTCGAAACATTGCCAAGATACTCTCAATCTTACACGGGAAAAGACCCAAATACGCCAAGACTTGCATACCTGTACCTGTGAAAATCTACGAAAACAAATATATATATATATTCAACATTTAAAACACAAAACACAAATTTTTACTCATTACAGTATTTCCACATCGTTATCAATATCACCCATAATATTCACATTTACATAAATTCTACTTCTATAGTTCACTATCCTATATTATACCATTGAGTTATAATAATATCTACTCACATATACTCACATTATCAACAATATTACATAGTTCTTATACATTATATATTTTACTTTATACATCTTACACATTAAGGTCTGGTTTTCTGTTTTGTTTTTTTTTCGCCCAAATAGCAGTGTCTTTTTAGGAAGCAATCAGAAAGAAGGTTGTCTGTCTCCAAGACAAACTGGAGGAAATATGTCCATGTACGTTGAAGAACATGAAACTGTTGGCTGGAACCATCAAAACCACAGTGCAGAAAAACACCAGAAACCCCAGCAACGTTCATCTCTGAAACTGACGCTTCTGACATCCAACAAAAGCCAAGGCTTGACACCCAAGAGTACCTACATTTGCAGCTCACCAGCCCATCTTCAAAAAAACTGATTAAAAATGATAAATCAGAACTTCAAAAGAGAGAATAGAAAAGGGAAGGGAAGGGAAGGGGGAAGGGAAGGGAAGGAAAGAAAAAAGGGGAGAGGAGAGGAGAGGAGAGGAGAAGAGAAGAGAAGAGAGAATGGAATGGAATGGAATGGAATGGAAGGGATGGAAGGGAAGGGAAGGGGAGGGGAGAAGAGAGGAGAGGAGAGGAGAGGAGAGGAGAGGAGAGGAGAGGAGAGGAGAGGAGAAGAGAAGAGAAGAGAGAATGGAATGGAATGGAATGGAATGGAATGGAATGGAAGGGAAGGGAAGGGAAGGGAAGGGAAGGGAAGGGAAGGGAAGGGAGAGAAGAGAAGAGAAGAGAAAGAGAGAATGGAATGGAATGGAATGGAATGGAATGGAATGGAATGGAATGGAATGGAAGGGATGGAAGGGAAGGGAAGGGGAGGGGAGAAGAGAGGAGAGGAGAGGAGAGGAGAGGAGAGGAGAGGAGAGGAGAGGAGAGGAGAGGAGAAGAGAGAATGGAATGGAATGGAATGGAAGGGAAGGGAAGGGAAGAAGAGAAGAGAGGGGAGGAGAGGAGAGGAGAAAAGAAGAGGAAGAAGGAGAATGAAAGAAGGAGAATAGAATAAGGAATAAAGAATGGAATGGAATGGAATGGAATAGAATAGAATAGAATAGAATAGAATAGAATAGAATAGAATAGAATAGAATAGAATAGAATAGAATAGAATAGAATAGAAGAGTTGGAAGGGACCTTGGAGGTCTTCTAGTCCAACCTCCTGCTTAGGCAGGAAACCCTACACCACTTCAGACAAAGGGTTATCTAATCTCTTCCTAAAAAATTTCCAGTGTTGGAGAATTCACAGCTTCTGGAGGCAAGTCGTTCCACGGTTAATTGTTCTGTCAGAAAAGATGGAATCAGCGGGTGCCTGAAACACCAGTGGCAGACCAGAAACAATTCTATTTCCCAAAGGGCATCTAGTTCTCCTCCCGGCTTCCGAATAAAGACTGAAATTTAAACCCTGGGATCTGTTTAGCCCTGCTGAAATATTCAGAGGCAGACTTACAGCTTCCACAACAAGGACGCCTTTTCATTCATAGCAGAAGTAAAGAAAAGAAGGCAGGTAAACAGGTAAACAGAATCAGAAGGCGAAAAGATCTCCCATATTTTTTTTTTTGGGGGGGGGCAGCCAAGATGAGCACATCATGAGAAAGGCGGGGTTAGATGAATCACAAATCGGAATTAAGATTGCCGGGAGAAAAATAGGCTAACGGAAAAGCTACGATGTCCGTTCACCTTACAAGAGACTAATTCAGTTTTGTTTTGTTTTTTTAGCGCGGTCCAGGAATGCTCGAAATCATTCAAGTCACGTCAGTTCAGGGCCGAGCTGGTTCTGGCTTGTCCAGGATCGCTACCGAGCACTGAGCGACATCCGTGCCGGTGTTCACGGGCTGGGAGAAGGAGAACATTTTTCAATTTGGGTCATGCTGAGTTGTGGATTCTCCAGGGGGGGAAGTTCTATCTAGGATTTGCCTGAAGACAAAATGACGCTGTTGGGCTTCCCACACCCAATTATTTGCAGTAATTCCCCCCAAGGGGGTTATATTTCACCCACAGTGCAGTGGGGGATTAAAAGCAAGGCGCCTTGCCACCTTCCGCGCCTTGAACGGCCTCGAACGTAATCTCTTTACATTCTTGTAATGTCAAACCGAAAACACAATGGAGGACAATTGGTGGAAGAATGCAAGGAATATGATGTTGGAAGATTAGAACACGGGAAGGGAGGGAGGGTGGGAGGGGGGAGATGAGAATGGGAGGGAGGGAGGGAGGAAGGAATAGAGGATGACGGAGGGAGGGAGGGAGGAAAAAGAAGGAAGGAAGGAAGGAAGAAATAGAGGATGAGGAATGGAGGGAGGGAAGGGAGAAGGAAGGAGATGAGAATGGGAGGGAGGGAGGGAGGAATAGAGGATGAGGGAGGGAGGGAGGAAGGAAGGGGGGCAGAGGGAGAGAGGGACAGAGGGAGGGAGGGGCAGGGGATGAGAAAGGGAGGGATGGAGAAGGAAGGAGGGAAGGAATAGAAGATGAGGAAGGGAGGAGATGAGAAGGGGAGGGAGGGAGGGAGGAATAGAGGATGAGGGAGGGAGGGATGGAGGGAGATAGGGGATGAGGAAGGGAGGGATAGGGGATGAGGAAGAGATGGATGGAGGAAAAGGAAGGAAGGAATAGAGGATGAAGAATGGAGGGAGGGAAAGGGAAAGGAAGGAGATGAGAATGGGAGGGAGGGAGGAAGGAAGGAATAGAGGATGAGGGAGGGAGGGAGGAAGAAAGGGAGGGACAGAGGGAGGGAGGGTCAGGGGTTGAGGAAGGGAGGGATGGAGAAGGAAGGAGGGAAGGAATAGAGGATGAGGAATAGAGGGAGAGAAGGAGGAAGGAAGGAGATTTGAATGGGAAGGAGGGAGGGAGAAAGGAAGGAATAGAGGATGAGAGAGGGAGGAAGGAAGGAAAGGACAGAGGGATGAGGGACGGAGGAAGGGAGGGATGGAGGAGAAGGAAGGAAGGAATAGAGGATGAGAAATAGAGGGAGGGAAGGGGGAAGGAAGGAGATGAGAATGGGAGGGAGGGAGGGAGGAAGGAATAGAGGATGAGGGAGGGAGGGAGGGAGGAAGAAAGGGAGGGACAGAGGGAGGGAGGGTCAGGGGTTGAGGAAGGGAGGGATGGAGAAGGAAGGAGGGAAGGAATAGAGGATGAGGAATAGAGGGAGAGAAGGAGGAAGGAAGGAGATTTGAATGGGAAGGAGGGAGGGAGAAAGGAAGGAATAGAGGATGAGAGAGGGAGGAAGGAAGGAAAGGACAGAGGGAGGGAGGGACAGAGGGAAAGAGAGATAGGGGATGAGGGAGGGAGGGATGGAGAAGGAAGGAGGGAAGGAATAGAGGGTGAGGAATGGAGGGAGGGAGGGAGGGAAGGATGGATCATTTGAAGTCTCTGAATCCAAAAAGCACCTAAAAGAGTCATCTAAGCATATCCCAAATGCTCCAAACCTGGAGACAGAACCTTCAGAAGAACTTCAAAGCCAATCCAGACCATTCCAGGGACAATCCCATTTCAGGGACCGACGACCTCATCCACAACACCATAAAATGACTTCCTTCAATCAATCAGGATAGAGCTGGAAGAGACCTTGGAAGTCCCATTTCAGAGGAACCCCGGATTGGTTAAACTAACATGGTCCAGAGAATGAAAAGACTGTTCCAGAATTCTCCAGAACTTTCCATTTCTGGAGACAGCCTGGTTTACATGTACCTAGAACCTTCTGGAAAGTAAGAAGCCTACAGCGCCATCTTCCTTTTTAAACAGAATCGCCTCAGAGCAGTGGTGGGTTGCTACAGGTTCACCCCAGTTCAGACGAACTGGTAGTAGCGGTGGCGGGAGGCTCCGCCCACCCGCCCAGATGTCATCAAATACGCTCTGCGCATGCGCAGAAATGGCGCAAGCGAACTGCCACCATTGCCTCAAAGGTGCTTTTTCAGGGGGCAGCTGGGCTTTCTAGTTTTTCTTTGAAGACGTTTCGCTTCTCCTCCAAGAAGCTTCTTCAGTTCTGACTGAATGGTGGGGAATGGGAAGATCTTCAAATATCTTCAAAGAAAATATTTCTCCTCTTCCTTATTTAGAAGATTTAGAAGACTAAAGGCCAAATATAAAGATTGTAAAGGGCAGAAGAAGCCCTATTTTGTCTACTAATAAATGGATATTCTATGCTTAGCCATGATCAAATTTCTTCCAATTTTCTGCAGGCCGACAATATTTCCCCCTTCAGCAAAGGCATCGTTTTATTAAGGATTAAACCAAATCTATCTATTAAACCAAAAAAGAAAAGGTCATTAAAAGATAATTTTCAAACAAGGCAATTGTTTCTATATTTCACATCACATCGAATTTGGCTCTGCAACCCAACAAGAGAGACCCAGACTTCAGAGGATAATTAGAACGGCAGAGAAAACCATGGCTACCAACCTGCCTTCCAGGGAGGACCTGTATCCTGCACGAGTCAAAAAGAGGGCTGTGAAAATATTTACAAACCCCTCGCATCCTGGACATAAATTGTTTCAACTCCTACCCTCAAAACGACGCTATAGAGCACTGCACACCAGAACAACTAGACACAAGGACAGTTTTTTCCCCGAACGCCATCACTCTGCTCAACATATAATTCCCTCAACACTGTCAAACTATTCACTAAATCTGCACAACTATTACTATTAATCTTCTCATCGTTCCTATCACCCATCTCCTCCCACTTATGACTCTAAGACTGTAACTTGTTGCTGGTATCCTTACGATTTATATTGATAGTTTTTCCTAGTATGATTTGATTGCATATTTGTACCCTATGACTATCATTAAGTGTTGCACCTTATGATTCTTGGTGAACGTATCTTTTATTTTATGTACACTGAGAGCGTATGCACCAAGACCAATTCCTTGTGTGTCCAATCACACTTGGCCAATAAAGAATTTATTCTATTCCATTCCATTCCATTCCATTCCATTCCATTCCATTCCATTCTATTCTATTCTATTCTATTTCTATTCTGTTCTGTTCTATTTCTATTCTATTCTATTATTTTCCCCATCCTCTTTCTTTCCTTTCTTTCTTTCTTTCTTTTCTTTCTTTCTCTCTTTCTTTTCCTTCCTTCCTTCCTTCCTTCCTTCCTTCCTTCCTTCCTTCCTTGGACGAGAAATGGGGATTACAGAGCTTAGAGTAGGGACGGAGATAAGAGAGTTTGGCAGACCAAAAAAGAAAGAAAAGGGGGGAAAAAAGACACTCATTTGAATAAACTCAGCAAGCTTCTTCATGGATGTCATAGCAACTCTGGAAAAAAAATATATGGGAGGGGGGGAATGCATTAAGGTCTTACGTGCCTGCTAGAGAATTAGAAGGTTCCTGGAGCTTTTAAAGACAGATGCAGCATTACTTTGTCAATAACCAGGAGGCATGTTGCTGTACTTTTGATCAAATGTGCCAAATTAACAGTGAAGGTGATGGAATGGTAGTTTACTTCCTTCTATTCAGGACATGGCATATAAGCGTTGTGTCAAGTTCAAAGCACACTTATGCTGTTGCAACTATTATTGCTTCTCAGCTTGCCAAAGAACCGGGGGGGAGAGAAGGGTGAATTGGAATGAAGGCTCCAGACATCAAGAAGACGAGCCGTGGGAGCCAAGGACACTTCTGCAGGTGTTTGCCAAAACCAGAGACTTTTTCTCATAGCAATAGCACTTAGACTTATATACCGCTTCACAGTGCTTTACAGCATTCCCTATGCAGTATACAGAGTCAGCCTATTGCCCCCAACAATCTGAGTCCTCATTTTACCCACTTCGGAAGGATGGAAGGCTGAGTCAACCTTGAGCCAGTGAGACCCGAACTGCCAAACTGCTGGCAGCCAGTGATCAGCAGTAGCCGGCAGTACTGCATTCTAACCACTGCACCACCACAGCTCTCATAACAATACAATGACACTCAACTGGACAATGTGACCTACACTAATAAGGGGTGGGAGAAGCCTATACTTTTAGTTATATGGGTTTGCACGGGAATTAGCTAGATCTGGTTTTTCCCTCATCAGTGCCGAAATGATGTACTCAATAAAGTTTTGCATTCAGAGATTGGATCGTCTCGACCATGCCTGATTCGGTTGGGTTCGTCAGTCAGAACGTTGACACCGAGAGCGTATGCACCAATACAAATTCCTTGTGTGTCCAATCACACTTGGCCAATAAAGAATTCTATTCTATTCTATTCTATTCTATTCTATTCTATTCTATTCTATTCTATTCTATTCTATTCTACTCTACTCTACTCTACTCTATTCTATTCTGATTTATTTTCTATTCTATTCTATTCTATTCTATTCTACTCTACTCTATTCTATTCTGATTTATTTTCTATTCTATTCTATTCTATTCTACTCTACTCTACTCTCTTCTGATTTATTTTCTATTCTATTCTATTCTATTCTATTCTATTCTATTCTATTCTATTCTATTTTCTATTCTATTCTATTCTTTCCCATTCTGTTCTGTTCTGTTCTGTTCTGTTCTGTTCTGTTCTGTTCTGTTTATTCTATTCTATTCTATTCTATTCTATTCTCTTATTCTATTCTATTCTTCTCCCATTCTGTTCTGTTCTGTTCTGTTCTATTCTATTCTATTCTATTCTATGTTAAGAGGGAAAAATGAATAGGTTTACTATGTTCAATACTACAATTGTAAGATCAGAGAATTAGTATCAATGCAATGAACGTTGTTATAAATCTTGACGGTTATTACACAGAGATATTTGTACCCAGACGACACACTGTTTAAGGGAAGATATATAAAAGTTTGCACAGCTTCAGCAGTTCGTGGCTCAAGGAAGGAGAACACCCTCTGTCCATTTTTAGTAATAGGAGTCTATCCGTAAATATGAGCTCTCCAAGCCTCAGATGTCCTTAGCTTGGGGACTGCCCAAGTAGTCCTCGACTTACAACCACAACGGAGCCCAAATTTCTCTCATTAAGTGAGACATTTGGGAAGCGAGTTTTGCCCCCTTTTTACTACTTTTCTTACCACGGTAGTTAAGTCCATTGCTGAAGTTGATAAGTCAGTAACCCGGTTGTTAAGCAAATCGGGCTTCCCCATT